AACAGTGGCTGTAATAGACATTACAAAAACAGCCCCAGGAAGGAGTCAAACTTCAACTGTAAGTCTGCAGACTTCATAATTGAGAATTTCTGTGATTTGTTGAAAATCAGTCTCTCTGGTAAAAGGTGTCCCTGCCCATGGCAGGGGGATTGGAACTAGATGACCTTTAAGGTCCCTTCTAGCTCAAATAATTCTGTAACTCTATTACATGGCAACAGGCTAATTTCTAAGTTCAGGAAATCTGTATAAAGGTGTCTAACACTTAATGGAGAATCCATTGTGCTGGGAATCAGAGTAAAAAACCCAAAGTACCTCTGCTTTGGCTTCCTTTTTGCTGCTGCTAAGTTGCTATGGCAAATCTTCAGATTCTTGTTCCTCATGGCTCAATAAAAAAATGAACTTATTTTTAACATATAATACTATGTGTTTGTACAGCACATATTTACCAAAGCTATGAAATGCTTAGGACTAATTCCAGCTAGAAGAAGACAAAAATGTAGTGGACTAAGAGGTACCTGTTTGCACTGTGCAGTTTTTATAAACAGTGGAGCGTGGGCTGGAACAAAAAGGTTGATCATAAGCTTCTTTATCTTACTGGGAAGAGGCTCTGCCCTTGGGCCCACTTCCCACTGTAGTGTTCTTCCCAGCAGAGTGAAGAGGCAGCTGCAGTACTGCTTCTGAAAATACAGCTGGCTCCAGCCCTGCCCCAGCCCTGATTTCCATCCACACCTTTACAGCCAATGGTACCATTCACATTGTGCTGGTATATACAACAGCAGTGCTGGAAGTTGAAATATCTGCATTTCAGTAAGCTCAACCAGTCCCTTCACACAGGGCAATGATGAGCCATGATGAGGTGAATGATGGCTGGTTACTGATGGTATTGAACAGACTTTTAACAGTGATGTGGCAATGTAAGGGCTGAGAGGGGTGTGTGTATGTGTGTGTGAAGCTTTTCAGTTGTTTCTGCAGAGTGATACACCTCCACAGTGCCTGGTTGTGGCTTTGGATGAGTGGAATTTTTAAAAATAAACATTATTTCAGAAGCTGTCTGGTTTGAATAATGATTAAAAGGTGCTATGACTGTGTATTCTAGACTTACTTAATTATTTTCAACTGTAAACCAACAGCAGACTGTAAGATAGGAGTCTTGGATGCCAGATGATTCCTGAAAACCTTTTTGTACCTCTAGTAGTAACTACTGAAGTATCTACTTTTATCCTCAGAAATCTATCACAAGTACTTTAAGCTCAGGAGGAATCTAGTAAATCAACAGGAATAACCCTTAAGCTCTCAGTATCCTCCAAAGCTTGGAAATTTTTGAGTAAACTTGCATTGGCTGCTCAATTCACCAAACTTTTTAAAGGACTGTACTTCTCTGATGCTTAACTCTGCAAAAACCTGTCATGTTCCATAGCCTGTGAGTTAAATAACATGATCTGGCACTTTCTAAGTGTAGCAATAACAACCATATATAGCCTGAAAAATTTGACTATTGATATGGACCTAGAAGTGCACAGCAAAGCAGGTATTTATTTCAAGACAAACAAATAGATAATCTTACAAGAGCACATTTTAAAACCTTGCATCAAAAAACCAAAAAACAAGAAATGAATTTACATAAGAAACACTTAAGACCCCACTCTGTATGTATATAGCACAATATTTAGCTGGTGATGGGTTTGTTTATTTTCCTTACTAATCATGAGCTGATGACTGAATTCCAACGACTTAAAATTATAATAGCAGAAGTTTTTTTAACCTATCATTTCAGTTAATGAATTAAAATTAAATTCATTCCCTGTCACCACCAAATCTAGCATAAATAATAACATTTGCTGTTTCATATATATTCTCTCAATTTCTGCTTTTCTTTCTGTATTTTTGTTCCTCAGCAGAGAGATTTAGCGACAAAGAGGTTGTGGGCTCCAAAAGGATTAACAGCATTTCCTACTGCTCCATCCTCCCCTGAAGTCTCATACTTTGTCTTCAGTGTTGTGGACTTTCTGATGACATCCCAAACAGAGGTACAGGGTCAGTGATAAACAAGGAATAGGTAGTACTCAAAAAAAATTTAGGAAATTCCTAGGAAATATTTCAGGAAGCATCAGAAAGACAGACTGGGATAAAGAAAGGAAAGAAAGGAAAAAAACATCTGAAACACCAGAGTATGAACAGATAAAAGACCATGTCAGAGCTACACAATTTTTCTGATAATTCTTGATCTCTTTCCTGTGTTGTATATGCTCCTTAAGTATGACTTCTAATTGCTTTCAGCCAACTACTTCTAGTCCTACATTCAACCCTTTATCCCCGTATTACATTTTACCTCACTTCATTTAATAGAACATCTTTCATATATCTCAATGCTATGCTATTTTAGTGGGGGCTGGATGGGGAAATCACAGACTGTAAGGTAAAAGAAGAAAACCCTGCATGCAATGATCCCCACATCCACTGGCATATCTGTAGTTTTACTTTTTCTCACCCTCTTTTGTTGGCTTTTCTGTGAGCAGATAATGATATTTTCTATTATGACAACCTATATGGATCTTAATTTATTTCCTTGTGCTGCCTAGAATATAGTTATTTACTGTTACTCTCTGGCAAAAAAAATAACTATGCCTGTCATACTCAGTGAAGGACAGCAAAATCACTACATCCCAAGAAAGGGAAATAGCAAACTTGAATCATAAACTTGGCATTACAGCTACAGATTTACAACAACATATGGTAATTTGCCTCTAGCTCTTTTGCACATGCTGACCAAAATAATCCATTGAAACAGAAATGTCCCAAGTTGTAAGAATAGCAACCAAATTCTAGATCCCAGCTTTTTACATGGGCCCTGGCTGTAAAGAGTTTATCCATAAAGAGAAATATTTTTGTATCTGACAACAAGCACATTTCTGAAGCCACATTTTTTTTCCTTAGTGCCTAACATAGACGTAAACTACCTTTGTAATCAGTGTATATTAATTGAACTAATGGTGCCAGGCACAATGATACAAATGCTACTCCACTATGAACACTTTACAACAATATGTAAATACAGAGCCTCTCTAACGGACTGTTCAGGCATGAACACAGCCAATTGTGTAGGTCTGACTGCAAAAAATACATGCTAACAAAAGTGACTGAGGCTTTTGTGGTTTGCTGCTCCAGAGGTTTGGGGCATTTGTTGGAACAACTCCGGAATAAAAGAACAGGTTTTGCATTTATGGTCTGGGAAGTGCTATTTAGATAAGCAGCCAAGATATCAAAGCATCCTGCAGTGAAGCACCAGGGCATAGCAGCTTAGTGAGACAGACCACAGCCAGAATTCATGAAGTAGCAGAAAACCAGGCTCATCAGTGCACACAGAGCAATACCATACAGAAGAACTAGGCTAGTCCAGATGCAGCACAGATATCTCAGCTTGGCTCAGCATGCAAGTTAATAAGCCTGAGTTCTCAACAGGGCTTACCAGGTTGATGCTGATACAGGGGTAATCGAGCTTTGCTGCAGTTCAAACCAGTAAGTGTGCAGGTCTCTGTGTTATTTATGTGTACATAAATAAAAAGGACTCTGTGCCCTTAATGTAGACACCTGAATTAACCTGCTGTTCCTGGCTTGGACTTCTTGCACCATTGCTCCTCACATTTTGGGTTCCTAGCTTACCTCAAGCAAAATAAGCTTGGATATATCCCTACACATCCAGTGATTATAGTTTTTCATAAAATACAAATTTAGGGAGCTGAACAAAGCTCTTGACACAAAGTCACTCTGTGTTTGATCTTGTAAAAACCCTGCTTCAGGTCATAGAAGGTTAGAGATGCATGGAAAACTATGCCACTCCCAACCTGACCTTGCCTAACAGCAAGATCATTGGTAACAGTGATCCATATCCTTTTCATCCCTTGTTCTTTATGGCACATTTAGTGCTTCATGTGCTTGCTGCCAACTAGAACAAGGCCATTCATGCTAACATTTAAGTTTTGCCTTCCTTCTCTGCTACCTTACCCCTTCATGCTGAGAGCGTAATGACAAAATGTAGAATTTAGCCTTAATTGGATCTCTGCAATGTTATCACCTGAATTAGCTCCCCTGTGAATAATTATCACTGCCTAGAGGCTGACAAATTGCTTCCCTCTACTTCATGATTGTCAGGAATTTCAAATTATATGCTGAGCATGGGGGGAGAGTGGGGAGAGAGGAATGAAAATGAAAAGCCTAGAGAGGCATGATTATTAAGATTATTAAAATACTTGGCACAAAGTCCCATAGTTTTCATGAGTCCTCAAAAGTGTGAGTGACAGCAAGAACTTTACTAGGGCAATTGGGCAACACCCAGCCTTTCACCCAGCAAAGACTACAGCAGTAGATTTTACAGTCAAAGTGAAACAACAACCCTCGCTCACAGTTAGGCAATTCCTATTCACTACCCCATTTAAGCTATGTACGTCAGCGTGTATAGCAACTCATCTCCATATTTGACCTTGGTAGGTAGATGGCAAATTCTTTGCAGCATAGACTGATAGAAAGGTAAACATATCCAGGGAGTAGCAGCAGATTGCCATGCATTTAGAATAGCATATAAAAGTTCTTGCTTTGTAAGTAAAAGGTCTATAGGAAAAAGTGCTCTTTCTGAGAAGAATCATTCCATGTCTGGGCAAGACATCACACAGAAATGCATTGCGTCATTACACTACAAAATCCATCTCAGATATCAAAAGAGATAACAACTGGTAAGAAATTTTCCTCTCATAAACCTAAATCACTATAAAAATATAATATTCTTTGAAAATGGCTTGACGTGGTCAGATTAAGCAATAGGACAAATAGGGTTTTTATCCAATTTTCACATTAATGATGCTGTGTTTGTAAGATTGATGCATTTCTCAGTTCATTTCAATGCAGTTCCTCAAACTTCTTTCCCCCCTTGCCGAACCAACAACATGTGTGAGACACAGACAAAGTAGATGCCAACATATTCCCAGGAGAGAGTTCTCCCTGCTTACCTGACATACAGTGACCTCTTCTGATTAGTCCTCAGGGAGCCAGACCCAGAACTCATGCTGTGATTCATCATCTGCTCACGCAGGTCATGGATTTTTGCCTCAAAGCGAGCGTACTCTAAGGAGATAAGAAAACCCCAGAGAATAAAGATATTTTAGTTTTCTTGACCTATATAATCACTAGGGCTGCTAAATGCAAATTAATATTAAATTAATGAGTGTAAGGCATGTCCTGAAAATTAAGGCCTAATAGAACCTTGCATTCATGTATTATCTTTGGTAAATACATGCCCTCTTTATTGTGGTACCTTGAACATTTCAGCACTGACTAGGTGAGAAGTCAGATAGCTAGACCCTCTCTCCTGCAGTTTCAGGAAAGATTTAAAGTGTGTTAACAAACATCTTTTGGTCTGCAGAAAGGATGTTGACAGTAGTTTTCCAGTGTATCATTTCTCCTTCCCAGCAACATGATACCTTGTTAGGGACAGTGGGATGGTGCACTGAAGTTCTAATGAGTCAAGCACTTACTGTAAAATCCTGTCAAACTGAAGGAGTTATCTCCAAGTCTAATTATCCCCAAAGCAGCTGTCAAAGCATTGTATGAACAATCAGCCACATTATTTACTCTGCCCACTGAGATTTGGGCTCTGTTTCTTTTAAATAGGTGGAGTCATAACTCAGAGTGGGAGATCCTAGTAATTCCAAACCTAAGCTGCATAAGAATGGCACAAAACTATCTCCCCCACCTTGTTCTCCTCCATAGCTCTGCTGTTTTGGTTTGCAAAAGGGACCTGCTGACCAGCAGCATGGGATCAGTGTTGGAGCAAGGATTCAGCTAGAGAGGTATCATTTGGTGAGGCTCCTCTCTTACAGGACACTTCTCTTGTACAGCCTGGTCAACAGTCCCTCCTGCTAGCATGTTGTCCTTGCTCATTGTATGCTAATGGGCTGAGTTTAGGTATGCAAAGAGGAAAGGCTGAAATTTTGGACACAAGCTCTAATTCCTTCAAACTGACAACGTACAGGCAATGCTTCAGCAACACAGAGCCACAATTCAACCTAAACCCGGGAAATCTACCGACGTGAGATAGAAGACTAACTTGAGGGGGTGTACAGAATACATTTCAGTGAGTCAGTGACACTTTGAAGAGTAAGATGTTGAAGACTGATGCCAGCAAAGAGAAGATGATGTTCCTGCACCTCAGTGTTTTTTCCACTGATGCCTTCAAAAGAAGGATCCCTTTCCCCTGAGCAAGGCTTGAGCAGAAGTGAAACCAGCAAGCAAGATCACACCACCTCTTGGCTTAAGCAAATAAATCTTTACAGTGCACTTATAACCCATAGGTCTGCATTCTGTTTGTTGCTGTTTGAGCTACAGGAGAGTGCTGTAAGACAGCAATATTCGTGTTTCCTCTTAGTAGAAATCTCCACATTATTTTTGTTTGGTCATATGCTGTTCACACTGGCTCAATTCCCAGAATGTCTAGATGCTTTGCAACAACTAATTCATTTTATTCAATGCCCTCTAACTTTCCACTGGATAATAACACCTAACCTTTCCAAGATCCTACATTTCACATAGACACTAGCTACCTTCAATCTGGTTTAGCAGAGTGGTTCGATTTGGGATTTTGTGTCTAGTTTTCTTCCCCCTTCTTACTTGATGCATTTTACCTCTCTTTTCATTGAGTTTCCTTGGCATTACCTACTGAATCTGTCAAGTGACAGTGGCTACTTTGCTAGTCAGCTGGGAACCACTGCTGTGCTATAAGACTCTTCAGTCTTCCCACATACCTATGATTTCACTGACTGAAGCTGAAATTCTGTATCTCAGGAGAAGAGACACTCCTACATGAAGCCTGTATTTTAGATTTATTCTGTAGCTTGTTTCTTTCTCATTTCTTTCACCTAGAGTACATCTTTAAACTTCTCAGAGATTCAAAAGCCCAAATCCTTTGCGGAACTAAGGCTCCTACAAACCCATGTTGTTATTTTTTTTATGTGGAGTTTAGTTTTGAAGTGTTTATCCCAGTGTAGGAATAGTTTGTTCTATGTGAGTCATATTTGTTCTAATCCTCTGCTTTAGAATTTATTTAGTAAATAATTATCTTCTGAGCAAGGCTTTGTTTAGTTTATATTTCATTATAACATATCTAACATTTCTTCTTGACAAATAGAAAAGGTGATCTTAAGGACCAAAAGCTTGCGTTTCTCTTCCTTATACAGTATCAGCCCTATGCAAAAAGAATATAGCAATTTTAAGGGTTGTTACTAGGTCTCTTTCATTTATGGTGGATTCACTGAAGAAGACAGTAAACATAGAGTGTAATTCAGCTCCTTTGATGTTTTACATCTGGGCAAGGCCAAAGATATGAATGATCTACAGCAGAGCAACTTTCCCTTTAATAAGCAACCAAATCGCAGGCTGACTCTATGTGAGGTGTGGGAGTAACTCCCAGATTTAGACACCAATCTGGAGAGTGAGAAGAGAGGATTGAAAATCTGACTCTCTCTAGCACAGCATCCAGCTATTTGCAACTTGAACATCAGCTCATGAGATACTCAAATGACTACAGCTTGGTCAGATGATGATATTATCACTTGTGTTCTGACTTCAGAGCACACTTGTAATTTAACTGACTGCAAATTTATTCTGAATTTAATAATCTCTCTCTTTCTGGAAGACCTCTTGAAACTACAACACATCTTAAAAATTGTCTAATAAGTGTGTGATGGAAGTTCAGGGTTCAAGCTCCTGGTCTCTGCATGATATTAAAAAATACTGAAGTACAAATGATATTCTGTTACTTTGTGTTCTTGAGACTTTTTTTTAATTGAAATACATAGACAATTTGAAAATAACCAAATTAATGGGACTATATGTACTAAAATGTACACTCATTCCTTCCTCCTGACAAATGCCTAGATCAAAAAATGTATGGCCATCAGTGCAGGTAGTATTTAACCCAGCTCAGAACAGTTTCTTTAATCTCTGTCCTCCTAGTTCTCCTACTGATTCCTAGATACTACAGTGACAGTTGCATCTGAAATGTGAACAGAAGAAGAATCAATGATGCTCTGCCATTGGAACTGCTGCAGTACTTCTGCCTACTGGGAAAAAAACCCTTTTTCTTAACACTTCTTTGTATGTGGGGTCATTCCAGACTAGCTGTTGTCTAATAGATTTGCATTTGCTTAGTGTGAAAAAGCAGCAGTGCTAAAGTCCAGAAAAACATTTCATGCTTCCTTCAAATTCAGCACTGAATCTAAATAACACACTTTCAATGCTCCTACACAACTAAAAGGACACCGAGGTTGTGACATGCTGACAAAAAATACAGTTAAAATTGATTCACTAATTTTGTGCTCTTTAAAAAAGGGAGAACAAAGAAAGTGTTGCTGCTGGAATGCCTCAATAGCAAAACTTTGCAAATTTGACTTACTAAAATCCGTCTGCAAAGGTCTTAACCATTGCCTGATTCACTCATTAACAAATTCTGGTAGCTTAAGAAACTGATAAAGCTATGCATTAGGCCAAAATGGCAAATGGGTGAGCAAACTGTAACCTATATTATCACTGGGGTCAAAACAGATGATATAATGGTTTGTGCTGGCCTGTGACTGGGACTGTTGTTGTAAGAAACAGGGCAGATGGGATGAAGGGAACTGTTTATTCACACCCCACTTTAGAGCTGGCTCAGGGCTCATGGTAGAGTGCGTAGGCCTGAATTTGGCTGTCCCAAAGATATAGATAAAACTCACTGCCCCTGGAGAGGTAAAGCTAGTGCCATTGCGTGTAGGAGAGGAGATTGCTGCTGTGAGGAATGGCCCAGCTACAGGGAGATTTAGACCGACTTTGAGGGCTCCGGCATTTACATGTTGAGCTCTGCATGCTGCCATAAGCAAACCCCCATTTTTCCAAGGGTCTGTTGTCTCTACTCAACTCTCTGGTCAGCCAGGAGAGAGGAGTCAGCTTGAATTGCTATAGTATGAATTGCCCCCAAGACAACCAAGAGCAAAACTGAATGTATTTATCAAATGCCATGACCAGTTTGAATAACTGATATTTGTCTGCTTCATACAGGACTCCTTAGACTGAATATATGGACAGGGAGCTGGTGCTTTTCCTTCTACTCATGCCAACTCCTTGCCAAGTGCTACATCTAGGACTCATATGTATTCTGACCTTCAAATATCAATGCAATTGTTTGCCTTTCCAAATCACTTGGACACGTTGAAAGGATTGGACAGGCCTTTGAGAGTAAACTTTGAACACCTCGAGCTTCCCCTTAGCTCACATACTGAGAAATCAAAGCTAGGCAAACAGCCAGCCCCATTAAAAAAACATCTAAAGCCCCAAACCCAAAAAGTAATACCCTTCATGTTCAGCTGGCCAAGATCAAAACTATGATCTACAAAATCTTGCCTAACCACTCTGGCATCTGAGGGGATGCAGACGCCAACATTTTTACTGATTCAGATATCCAAAATCCTGCCATCCCCACTACCTACTGTGCAAGTGGGTACTTGTACAGTGGGGAGGAGTTGTTTTAACACACACAGACACCCCTCCCTTTTGAGTTTCCTATTGACTGTCTTGGATAGTCTATGGTCAGACTTGGTATGTGAACTTCAGTGAGTCCAATTGCTTAACACTTAAGTCTCTTCACATATCAAGAGTCTCATCAAGTATCATGAGTTTGTGAGACCCATGGTGGATGTGCAGACATAAAGGACAGTTTGGGGTGAGTTTTTCTGTGACTTAAATCCTTTCATATACATGGAGCAAGGACTTTTTCTACTAAAATAAGCAGTATATTGAAATCTTAGTTAAAATTCTCCAAGTGAGTCCAGAAATAGCATAAAAGGCTATGATACTTGAGCATACAATAAAGCTCTCATAAGTTTTAGATGCATTTAAGAGACTAAAAACCAATGAAAGAAAGCAAACCTCAATATTAAATAATTTCTAAGTCTAAAACTAGCAAAGACAGAGATTTTATATCTGACAGATTGATGTTACTTTTAGATCACAGAAATAAGAACAGCTATGATAAATGAATATGCTGCAGCTTTTCTATGAGAAAGAGTTGCAGAATTTTACAAAGCTACCTTACT